CATAGGATTTTACAACATTTTGTAAAATTTCAAATGAATGTCCTGACACTTAAAAATGTCTTAAAAAGTCTAAATTAAATATAATCTTAAAAGACTTAAAAAGTTTAAATTAAATACACAAAGATTTACGAAATTTTTAAAAGTCTTTATAAATATACCCCTAATTTTAGTCTAGATTTACAGGTTTCGAATACATGCCAAACATTTAAAACTTAAAAAAAAAAAAAAATTAAATATATTAGATTTTTGTAAAACTAAAATACTATATAAGGACTTCAAATGAATAAAACTATTAATTTACAAGTTCGAACTTAATACTCTTGGTACGGTGATAAACCTCTGATGTAGAACGTGTGCTTGGAATGCTTGAGATACTCTCTCAAGACTTGTATAAGAGATACTCTCTCTTTGCAGAAGAAGAACAGTGATTTTTTTATTTCAACGATGAATGCTTACATCTCATTTGTTTGTTCCATAAATAGGGAAAAGAGTCCTCTCTTGCTTAACAAGTGCAAGATATTTATTTATTTCCTAAACTAGGCATAATAATTAAGGACATCAAATAAATAACAAAAGAAAACTAAATAATAAAAGATGAGGTAAATAATAATACTAAATCTTGAGCCGGTCGAACTTGTCGAGATACGCTAAAGCGGCCTCGTCGTCATCAACCTCGGAATTCATAAACTCGGTATTGTTTAGTTTCGTTATGGGCGAATTTTGTTTCTTAAAACATCTAGAATGTTTTAGGTCTAATTTTAGATGATAGACAAAATTATATAAAATTAACAATATTCACTCTAATGCAAGGAGACGATAAATACAATACAAAAATTACTAATTTTTAAAATACATGTACAATCGATGGTCGTAATAGAAAATGATAATTAATATATATAAAATGATCATAAATAATCAACATATTATAAATAATTCGAACTTAACTATTTTTGATTTATTTTTTGGCCGAAACGATAGATAATTTTATAAATTAAAATGCACAAATGTGCGAATACACAACAACCTACAGCTGAAAAAGTGGGAAGACAGGTCAGAAGACCGTGTGGAACCCTGACTAGCAACGCTAGAATAAAAACACTCACAACTAAACTAACCAACCACGCAAACGACTAAAACAAACTACAAGGACCTCAACAGGATAATACCCGAGTGTCGGATTCCAACAGGATAATAAATTTGACACTCGGGCTCACATGAGACAAAAGACCCAAACAAAAAACAAAGGACACAAACAAAAACTACAAAAAAAACACAAAACAAAAACACAATAAACTATATTCGAATCATGCAGGTATGCCACTTATACTATATTCGAAAATTATA